GTACATTCGAATTACTGATGTCTCTGAGCATTGCATTTTTGTGAATCTCTGTTGAAGGAATATATAGTATATATGTTTATTTATTGTGCTCTGAAGTTGCTTATTCGATCTACGAATGTTTTTCTTGCTGAGATCCTTGCGATTCTACTCTAAAACGTGTTGCGTTCCTCTTTTGGAATGTTTTTGTCTAGTAGGTATGCTTGTTCTAGTTGATTCTTCTGATCCAGTAGTGAAGATCCTTGCACCGATTATTTCCTGTTAAAAAAGTTATACTAGGAATTTGTTGGTAATGATTAGTGAAAAATAATACTGGACTTTGATGTTTCTAATCATTGTTTGAATAGTGATTCAAGGTGCTGTGTTGCTAACTTCGACAGACAAAGATAAGCTAATGATATCATTTGGACTTAACTTAGGGTTTGACGCTTGCTGTTCTTTTTCTTTTCATTAAAATGTTTTTGCAGCATGATTTGAGTAAATAGTGACGTGATTTGTACATTCACAATATTACTCTACTTAATTTACTGGCTGAGTGATTTTCACATCTAATGCTGCCAATTTGGAGTGAAGTAATGTTGTCCAACTTTCAATGTTAAAGTTCATCAGATAAAAAATTGGATACTTCATTGAGAAAAGTTAGACCACTATGTCACTGATAAATAGAAAAAACATTAGATACTAAGTTACTTCTTCTTCTTTCTCCAGCTACTGCTACATCACTATGTTCTCTCTCCATTTCTCCAGCTACTGCTACATCATTTACTTGATAATGTGAGGCTCTAGTTCATTTGGAGAATATTGATGATACTGTTATACTCTTGTGAAATTTTCAGTTCTCATTGAAGATGTTTGAAAATATCTTCTATCCAGTGTAAACAAAAACTTCAACAAAAGGAATCTTGACATTCCATTTAGTCAAGGGACGGTGGAAAAAAAAAGGAACTAGTTAGTGAAGTGAAAGTGAACAACAATATGAGAAAGCATAGTTGAGGTCCAAAAGCGGTAAACACCCAATAGTTGAGGAACCAAAGTGTTATGTTTTCGTATGTATGTTAGCTTCCTTATCCTTGATCAAGCCATCAAGGAAATTGAGTGAGCAATGCTAATGATTTCACTTATTCGTTCGAATGTATGAATTACAAATTTCATTGGAAGTTTGTAGCTAAGTCCTTGACTAAGCGTGCTTTAGTTCTTCAACAAAAAGTTGTTCCACACTTTGAAAGCAATGCCATCTGTCTTTCTGGGATCAAAGCAAACAGATTTCATTTATGAGTCTGTACTGTTAGTTTTGCTGTTTTGGTCACTGGTTCTTGGGCTATCATCCTATTCATGATGTTAATTTCTGGACTTCACAGCTTGTACTTACACGAGCTTCTAGCTTTGCTTCGATGGAGATTGAGAGAGAAAGCTTCTGTGAATCAAGTGTGGCATAGGAAGCAGAATGTAATTGAGAATTAAAAGAGCTAGTTTTCTCATTGATGTAATTGCCTATTTATACAGATGATCTTCCTCTATAACTAACTGACAGCTCACTGACATCTGTCCAAACTACCACTAACTTCCTAACTAACTTTCCAATAATTAGTTATACAACTAAGTCTAGTTTAGCTCTTAACTAACACTGCTTAACTCTAGTTGCTGAGCTTCATGTTACTCCATCTCGAACAATTGAGACCAGAGATCCATCTTGTGGAATGTGGTCATGTGTAGTATGACATTTTGATAGGACAAATGTTGGGTTGAAATGTTAGTTCTACCCAGGAGTGTAGATATCTGTTTATTTTGTTACTTTTTCCTCTTTTATGCTATGAATAATGTTTGCTTAAGTGTATTGCTGACTTGGCTCTTAACAACCCTGTCCACTCCTTGGCTCTTAACAACCCTGTCCGCTGCTGGTGTTTCAGAAGCTAGTCTCTATAAGATGTCTGAGGAAGCTGCTAGAGATCTCACTGCACTACCTGAAGCTGGGAAGAACAATGAAAATTCCTGTAATGGGAGTGTTCCAGTGACGGTGCTTAAGAGCATTGATAAAAATCATAAAGAAAAGGAAAGAGAAAAGCCTGTCTTACTGGCTGAGCCTGCCCTTAATGGAGACAATAAGGTGAATACTGGGGCAGAGATTGGAAATTCAGAAGTAGAATACATAGAATCTGAGAATTTGAATGATGTAGAAGATGTCGACACAAATCTGAAGGTAAAGATTCTTGATATAGTTTTGATATTGGCTTGTAGTAATTTGTATATCTTTTTACCTTCTTATGTTGATTACACTAGTCTCTTTTCAATGTCGTTGCGTCTCCTTTTTTCATTTTGTAGACTCTGTTGACTGGACTAGACTCCAAGGATTGGGTTTTAGTGTGTGAGGCACTCAATGATGTTCGGCGTCTGTCCATATTTCACAAAGAAGCAATGGTTGATATGTTGTAAGTTACATTTTCTAACTGAGGATATAACTTGAAAGATATTTGATCATGCTGTTCTGGCTGGTTTAGATAGATATCTTGATATAATTTCCTTTTGTTTTATGCTTTCCTACTTATGTTTGCTACTTAATTGAGCAGGGGAAATGTGATCTCTCTTATTGTGAAATCTTTGAAAAATCCAAGAAGTGCTGTTTGTAAAACTGCTATTATGGCATCAGCTGACATTTTCAAAGCATACTGTGACAGCATAGTTGACTTGATGGATCCACTGGTAACTTTAATTTTAATTCTCATTTTTTGTGACTTATGATTGCATTTTCATTATAGTTTCTGGTCCATCTCCTTAAGTGAATTTTACCTTGCCCTTGTGCTCATGATGTGACTGTGTCCTTTGCTTAGCTTGTACAACTTCTTCTGAAATCTTCACAAGACAAGCGATTTGTATGCGAGGCAGCTGAGAAAGCTCTAATAGCTATGACGACATGGGTTTCTCCATCACTATTATTACCGAAGCTGCAACCTAATCTGAAACACAGAAATCCCCGAATTCGAGCAAAAGCTTCAATGTGCTTTTCTCGAAGTGTACCACATCTGGTGAGAGTTCTTATTGCCGAAATATCTCTTTCTATCTGACATACGCTCTGGCCTATGAACTTTAGTTGTTTCATTCGTACAACTTAGTCCTGCTATTCATGATTTAACCATTTTGTTTGTTTATCTGCTGACTAAGATCTTTCCCTTGACTATGTTTCATTGACAATATACAGAAAGAAAGTAAGCTCAAGTTCTTTGAAGTATTCTAATAACTATTTATCTGATAAAAAAAAAAGCATTCTAATAACCTGTTACCGTTTAAGGAATGACTAGGTAACAGTTTGTCAGTCTCTTGACTATATTTCTTAATAGTCATAGTTAAATATTGCCAAGGAATTTTTGCATGGTCACGTTTTGTCCATAATGCTATGGTAGCTGCTCTCATGGTCTCATTAGTTATACCCCCTCGTGGTCGTTTATTGTTACTTATGTTTTTATTTGTTGGTTCTTGTTGAATGAAAACAACAGAGATTACTTCTTAGTGAACTCTTAGTAGCCACTGAAAACGTTAATCAGACATTTGTGGCTGTTCAACATGTTGCTGAAATGTGAAAGACGAATAAACTGTCCTGGTTCTGGCCTTCTGTTTTCTGGGTGTTTTGCTAATTTCCTTGTTACTACTAGGTGTGGTCTTTACTAACAGAGTAGCATGCTTTGCAGGGAGTAGAAGGAATCAGAGCATATGGAATTGAAAACTTGATCCAAATAGCTGCATCCCAGCTCAGTGACCAGCTTCCTGAGTCAAGGGAGGCTGCTCGTACGCTGTTGTTAGAACTGCAAACTATCTATGAAAAAACACTCAATGTTACCCCAACAGAAGTGAGTGAAGAGGCGGAAACAATTTCCTGGGAGCATTTCTGTCAATCAAAGCTTTCGCCTTTGAGTGCTCAAGCAGTTCTGCGTGTAACCAATCTCACTAGGGAGGGTATTGTTTTAGGTTCATAGCATTTGTGCAATGAGCTATAGTTCCCTTTTGTCCTTCCTCATTTTTTGGTTTGGCTTCTTATACCTGTATATACCATTAAAAGTTTGAGGTGTTTGCGGGGCAGTTAGACCATATCTAGAGCTATAGTTCCTATAGTATCTTGAATATATGGTTTAGATTACGTCTTATTGTGCTTATAATCATTCATGAATGCTTGCTTTGCAGTATTACTTGTAATTGAGCTCGTTCATTGTTTGTCTTACTGTTTTAATGGTTGAAAAACAAAAATGTATTACTGTGAGGTTAAGGAAAGTTGTTCATAATCGCCAAGGGTGTCACACGTCCACTTACAGCAATATACTAGCCTTGCAACTTAATTGAGGAAGTGCAAGATAGATGTTTTTCATGATCCTTTTGTTTTCCTGTTAAATCTATTGTTCTGAGAGTTGTTACATTACGTCTACCACTTCTAATGACTGTCTGGTGATCTCTTCAATTATCTTGTGTTGGATTCATTCCCTTCTCAAGAGGATCGTCCACTATGTGAAGGTCAATGACTATATGCTTATGCCAAGTGCATCACTTCATTACAGAAGGTCAACACTTTTCAGTTGCTACTGAAATTACAATATTTGTTTGTGTTGCGCCAACTTCACAGATTAAAGCAGCCCAAGCCCCACTGAACATTAAACTATTACAAATTGAAAACAGAACGTTGCCGTCAGCTACCTATACCGTCCGAAATTCTTTTAGGTGAATAAGACTAATACGTATTTTTATATAAGAACTTATCCTAATCCTAAATTTTTTAACACAGAAAGAATGCATAAGATGAAGCAGATGCCAAAAAAGACGAGTATGCGAATATTTCTGAATTACACCAGAATCATATCTTCCACCAGTCAATTGTTGCAAAACCTTAGCATCTTTTGCTCCAAATCCATTTCTCTTGGAACTAAGGAGCCAATATGTAAGTAAACTCTTATTGTGATTCTTCCTTTCATCCTCAGAACATGAGTTTTTGTAAAGGATTTAACTTATAATCTCGGGTTATAATCATGGGACTGGTGATATCAGTGATATTGCTACTTGTTTTTGTCGGAGTTCTTGTCTTGATTCATGTCTGTGTAGTATTGAGGGCTTTTAGAAGAAGAATTGACAACGTTAATATGATGGAGAGAGGTGTCAGCATGTCTCAAGAGGATATAGACAAGCTTCCTTGCTTTGATTTTCAAGCCAAAGAGAAGGGAGTCAATAGTCCAGTGGACTGTGCAATTTGTTTGGATAATCTCAAGGTGGGTGATAAATGCAGGATTTTGCCTCAATGCAACCACAGTTTTCACGCTGAATGCATAGATTTGTGGCTCTTGAAATCCCCCTTTTTTCCAATATGTAGGGCTAGCGCTGATATTCTGAAGGGTTGTTCCATATCTGCAGGAGAAAGCAGCGGATATAGTGAAAGTGGTCAAACGAGAGAACACAATGTCCACACGACTGAGACAAGAATTGAGTTGAGAGAAAGCCAAAAAGTTGATAATTTTAATTAGTATTGAACTATAAAAAGCATCCATGTTAAGTTGCTCATATTGATTGAAGGAATGAATTATTGTCTCGTTATATGATCTTGGTATCTTGGCAATCCTGATGAGTAATTAGTTTTCAAAGTTTAGTTAGGTTCATGGTTCATTTTCTTCGCACTACCTGCTCCTATTTTGGTTTAACCAATATTGGTTCTCATGTTATAATTGGATTACACAAATTATATTGTATTGAGTTGTGAGCTTTATGGAAAAGAGTAACAAAATGGATAATGATGAATTTGGGTGATTCAAATTTGTTTTCGTAATATTGTCAGCAGTTTCGTCATAAATTACTCATTAGATATTTCTATTATATAGAAAAGAAAAGATGGTCAACCAAGGGCATATGTGTCATTTCAAAAAAAATTATTGTATTGTTTGCATTTGTTAAATATAAATTGTGTCCTCCTTGATATATGTGGATCCCACATTCCCTTGACCACAACACTCCTTTAAAGTTTAAATGTACTGTTGATTAGACTACTTTTGCAGAGAGTTACTCCATGCAAATACTCATTTCGAACGTTTTTTCTCATTTGATAAAATTATTAATTTTTGTTTTTGTCAACTAAAAGTTTTCACAGAAAAAGTAAATTTAAATTTTAAATAATAAAGCAACAAAAAGAAATATAGATAAATATTTACAAGTTTTTCATATTTGCCCATACTATTTTAACACAATTTAAAAAATAAATTAAAAGGTTTTCATGTATTCACACTGTTTGAAGGCGCTTTCACCCTAAAAGTTTTATATTCAGAAGTACTTTTAAAAACTATAGTTTGTTAAACATTAAAAGTTAATTTAAGTGATGATATTTGTTCATATGTTCTAGGAGGTTATCTCTTATGTATTTAATTGATGTGAAAAATTAATTTATATGGTTTGAACTCCATTCTTCTATGATAAGTTTTCAACAATCTATAAATTGTCTTAAAATATTTTATATTGTTTCATGATTAAAATTACCATATGATAAACCTATAGAAAAAATAAAAACATTTCTCTTATATCCTTAATAAGAAAAAAGTTAAAATCCCTATAATTTATATAGACTTCTATCAGATATTTGTTATCTTATCACCAGTAACATCATTTTAAACGAGTTATAATAAAATATAATTTGAACTACTATATTGAATTACTACAATTTATATCTTGTTAATATTTGTTTAGTGCAGTTGGTTCTCTTTGTTTGAAGTAGTAAATTGCCTCTTTAGGGATGCAAGTCCCCTTGTAAGTTCTTTTTGTTGAATGTACTAAAAATTTCTCTTGATTTTGTTGTATACAAGACATAAAGTAAAATCGTAAGTTTTTTTTTCAACTTTTCTCGTATTGTAAAGAATGATGTTGTTCCTTTTAACTTTCATCAGGTAGCTGATTGTTCCCACTATTGAAACACTTGCAAGACCAAATTGGATGTATTCAAAATTAGTTTACAAATAGATCGGTAAGTTTTTTTGTTGTAGAAAAATTGTTAATATAAATAACACTTGTACCTTTAATGTATTATCTTGTTAAAATTTTAAATATAGTGGGGAAATAATACCATTCAATCAATTTTATAATTTGATGTTTATATTTGACATTGATGTTAAAATGAGTATTATAGCACATAGTCTTTTTATGTTAATAATTGGAGCAACTTAAGCAGGATATAATTAATAGTTTAATTTTTTGTAAATAATTAAAATAAATTGAGTGTAAATTGTGGTCCCCAATATCATTCTCTATCCGTTATTAAATGGATATAACAATGATCGATTTATTTATCAAAAAATTAATTGAGCACCAACAAACAACAATTTTAAGATTACGATGTTGGGCCCGTATACGGGCCTTTCTATTAGAATACCTGGAGCATAGTATGGATCTCTGTTCAAAAATCTGTTAACTGCTTTATATAAAGTATAGTAATCGAATAGCTCTTATAACTTTCTGACTCCTAACTTATTGATTGTTGTAGTAAGAGATTGTGTGTGTGCTCTTAGCATTCTACTCTAGATTGTGTGTGGATATAAATCTTAGGCTACAGTCTGGTCTGTAATTCATTTGTTACTGCTAAGAAGTTTAGCCAAATTCAAATGGATAAGGATGTGAGGAAGAATTGGCACAGGTAAACGAATAGCTATATCTTAGTATTTTCTCTATGGCGGGAGAGGTAGGTAACACTAAAGAATCATTGAATGAGCAAAAAAAAGAGCTGAGCATATGTTAGAAAAATTGTCTATTTACCTTTTCAAAGAAATACGAAAGAGTAAATTTTATTGTTTTAGTATAATAGTAACAGATATGTTAGATATGACGGCTAACCGATGCCGATTCTGGAGCATGTCTTGAATGCTAGATTAGAGTCATTGATGCATATAGTTTGTGTTGTGCAAGTTAAATTGGACATAACAGGGTGTAGTACTTATAGGGTGCTTCCTCTCTTTATCGGTGCACATTTCCTCGAGAAAGTCTCATTTTTTGACATTTCTATGCATTCTTTTACTGGTGCTTCTTCACTTTTTATTAAGTAAAGTAAAATGGTATTTCATATTTTATGAACCGTATATGTTGGGCCCGGCCTTAGCTCGGGCAACACACATCTAGTTTCTTAATCAAAACTTTTGGGCTTTCTTAACATAATTTGAATAATGAAAAAAAGAAAACAATAGAGAGTAGTTAAATTTTTTGGCGAAGGCGCATAGCCTGAGTCCCGGTTCAACCGTAGTTGAATTTGCTGATGGAGGCGCATAGCCTGTCTTGGTTCAATCTCGTAGTTGGACTTTTTAGTGAAGGAGATC